GTAAAATCTTTGTCAGCATTTCTGAGTTCCTTAATATAGATCCTAGTTAAGAGTGTAACAGATCGTAGGATAGAAAAGATAATGAACATTTTAAAGATTTCTGAACATGTTAATAGATTACTTTCCTGAAAAGTAGACCATCCTTATTAACATTTACTAGTTTAATTTTAAAAAGAGAAAGAAACAGTTAATATATTTTTAAAATTTGTTTTTATGATCAAGAAAATTGAATTTTTCAACTGTTAGTCATTTGTAATTTTTTTGTGTGAAATTTTTCATTTTCCTGTCTCATTTATTGATATATCCTTGTGTCTTTTCTTACTGATTTTTGGAACATTTTCATGTGCTAAATTCATCCCCCTTTCTGTCATATTTTCTCATTTATTTGCCTTTTATGTTGATTTATACACTTTGCAAAATACAGATTTTCAAAAAGTGTTTAAAAAGCTCTCCACCTTTTCTTATTTTCATTCATTGCTTTTAGACTTTATAAATTTCTTTATTATGCAGATTCTTCTACATTTTATCTCTTTTTTACCCCATTCACCTCTAGTGGGTGCTAGCTCAAGTTCTCAGAGCCTTCACATTGTCTCAGATCCCAGCAACAGCTGGGCATTCACAGAATGACTCTCCGTGGCCCTCTCATTGGCTATTCCCACACTTGCTACTTCTTTCAACAGCGTTTCTGCAGTCAACAAAGCAGATGCACATCTCTATCCTGTGAAGCTTTCATCACCTTCCTTCCCTCAGCCAGGCTAGGACATCACCCTTTTTCCAGTGCCTGGCTTTTCTCATCACCATGACCTTGTTCCATGTGCCACTGCTTGGGTGCCACCCCTCCTCTCCAGCCCAATTATGACACCTTGTTCAAGGGCCAGCTCTCTCAAGTCCTTCCCGAGTAGCCACCTACCTGACAGTCTCCTCAGCTTGTTGGCACTTGCATTTGTGGGTTCTGCTCTCCACATGAGTTCCTTTGTAACTACTCTTCCCTAGTACTATTAATATAGCTACCATTATGATGTGTCCCTAGGTGCTACTTTACAAAAATAATTTAAACAATTTTTCCATATAATATTTTACCATCTAATTCCAAATCATGTAAAGTGTATTTTAGTTAATAGTGTTAGGTTAGAAACAAAACTCATTTTTTTTCAAATGTTAATCCATTATTAGAGCACCAATAAGAATATTCCCTTGCCCATTGTAAGTTTTAGTGTACACTAAATCTTTTTGGATGCTGGGCTGATTGTCTCTTTTCTATTCTGTTTCATTGATATATCTTGCATCAGAACTACATTATAGATTAGCTTTATCATATTCCTTTTGATATTCTGGACTGTTTACTCCTCTCTATAGAATAATATAGGTTGTTTACCTTACATCTCATACTATGGGTATTCTTAGTTATTTTATATTTTTTATTTCTATTGTGAATGTAATTTTTTTTCTATTAAATTTTCCAACTCATTTTTTCCTGGTGTATTGGAAGGGTTTTGCATTTTCTTTTCCTATAGTTATCTCAAATCTGAGTTCTTTAGTCCCAATAATTATGTCAATTTTGTAAAGTTTGTAGATATCTAATCATACTATTTGCAAATAACGAAAATTTGCTTCTCCTCCTTCTCAAATGTTACATCTGGATTGGTTGGAAATTCCAGAGCAACATTAACTAATAATGTTAAAAATGGGAATTCTTATCACAGAAAAAATAAATCATGGTTAAGGAAAAATTATGGTCAACTTTCTGTTAAAAATAAAATGATAGTTAAAACAAATCATTTTTAATAGCCTAGATTAGATTAATTGCTTTGCAAATTTACCATGGGTAGGATGCTTCAAGATCCTGGGAGATGTTCATTTCTCCAGAAGGAGGGAACAGCTGATTAACACTAACTGCCAACTTCAAAAGGAAAGGAACTAGACTTTAGATCTGGATTGCAGTTGGGAGGAAGAAGGCTAGAGGGAAACTAGGGGAGTTAGTCTCTAGATTCCTTTACTTTTTCTTTGAGAGCAATTCCTGGCATGGTGACAAGTGGAGTCAGTCTATTTCCAGGAAGACTATAAGAGAGAGCTAGAAGTGAGCGTCACTGCAGCTCTCTTAAAGTGGAGGGGGAGGGGGATGTGGCAAAGAACATTCATGAAATTTACCTTTAGGAGACAATATAGTAGGTGTTTTTCTTGGACAGCTTTATCAGAGTCCGGCTGTAAATAATGTAACCACTGTAAACAGTATTGTCAGTTCAGTTCAAACATTGCATTAAAAATTCCTAAAACTCTAGCATTATGATCCAGATGAAAACATTAGGCAGATTTCTTTCCTGTTAGCCTGACAAGTTAATTTTGAATTGATGAACATTATACAAATCAAAATAACTAAAATCAGGTTTTTTCAAACATCGTTCCTCATAACTGGCAAACACAAATGTAAGTCATCTAAAAAGTACTTTGAGTTTCATATCATCACTTTTCTAGGTAGGAATGAGTAGTTATAGACTAACTTTTCAAAAACTATCATTGCAATAATTGTGCATTCATTCATTTCTAGGAGGTTTGTGTTACTCTGCCCATTTCAAAGATTCAGAAATTCAGAGTAGAGAAGTGGCTTGGTAGGCAACATGGGTTTTAAGTATTAAATCTAAAGTTTGAACCCAAGGCAGTTGATTCTAAATACCATGCTCTTTGAACCAACCACACCACACCCTGATTTTTAAATTAATTTTTTTAAATTATAAAAGCAATGTGTGCTTAAGGCAAACAATACATACATATGAGGGATATATATACATATATATGTATATGTATATATACATATATACATACATATAACATATATACATATATATATTTGTATTTTAGATAGATGTGTCTAACAGTAATATGGTTGATAGATGGAAAAGAAAGGGCACCTTGGAAGAAGAGAACCTAGTTAGGAAACTATTTCAGTAATCCTGATAAGAAATGATAAGAACTAGAATTAAGTGACACTGGCAATAGAAAACTTATAAAGGACAGATATAAGGGGGAGAAAACCTATAAGAATTAATAACTCATTGAAATGAAAAGGTCTGAGAGATGGGAGAACTAAGAATGGCTTCTAGGTTTTTCTCTTGGGCAACATGGTGATGGAGAGATGGAGAACCAGAAAGGAAAAGAATTGGTTAAAGGGATCAGGATTGAGTTTAGTATTGGCCGTAGCAAAATTTGTGATCCCTTTGGAATATCCAGGTGGAGGTATCTGTTAATTATACATGAATCTAGGGTTTAGTGTAGAGTTCCAGGTTAGTGACATAAATTTGGGAATCATAAGCCTGTTGACAGAGGTTGAAATCAGAGTACAGGTGTCACCCAGAGATATTATATAAAAGGAGAGAGTAATTGGCCGAAAGCAGAGCTCTAGAGAACAGTAGCATTTAAGGATCAAAGAAGACTGAAAAGGAATGGCTAGAGAAGTGGTGTAAAAACTTGGCCAAAATATTACTAATACTAAAGGAAGAGAATTTTAGAAGAAAAGGAAAAAGATGCAGAAAGAGCACCTAATTGAAAATCTGGCATTTCTCTAGATTAACTTCACAATTTATAAAATTGACTGAAAATAGAATTTCATTTTATCAAAATATTCTTTGGAATTTTGTTAGTGGATTTATAATATTTTATATATTAGGTAACTATGTGATATTTTAAGGCATAGATAATAAACATAAGTAACTGTAGAATGTGGCAGTGAATGTATATTACTGGCATGGCCCTTACTGATGAAGTGTGGTCCATTTGTTTTATTTTTTGAGCTTTCTTCTCCTCCTCCTCCTCCTCCTCCTCCTCCTCCTCCTCCTTCTTCTTCTTCTTCTCCCTCTCTCTCTCTCTCTCTCTCTTTCTCTCTCTCTCCTTTTCTTTCTTTGAGTTGAGGATTGAGGGAAGAGCATTAGATGTCCTGGTTATATAAGGGAAAACCATATTATAGATGCAGATCCATCTAAGAGATTTATGAATTTTTCTTCCATCTAGTTTACATGATGACTAAAGCAAATTTCAGAATATAGTTTCTGTTCACTCTACTCTAAATACGATTCTTTTATCATAACCTTATAATCTTGGCCAGTAATTCAGGAAGAAGGACTTATAAAGGGATCATAGTCACAGACCTCCAATTTCAGGGCCATAATGTAGCCTTTGAAATGACAACAAGTGAGAAGATTAGTATGCCTTTCCTTGCTGGGCAAAGAACTGTACAAGACCCTTGGCTGAGTGTCAAGGGGTAGGAAATGGAGAAGAGGATATAAAATGGACTCAGCCAGACTTTGCCCCCTGGAAGTTTTCAGGTTGATAAGCAATAAAGATAACTAAAAAATAGATGGAAGTAAAAGTAGAAGTAACTACAGATTCAAAGAAAAGAATGTATCAGCTGGGAAAATCTAGAGGAGTTGACATTTGAGTTAGTGAGTTTTGAATAGACAGAATGGAGTGTGGAGCATTCTACCTCAAGGGAGTAACATGACCAAAGGAACTGGCCCCCAAACAATTATTTTTTTGAATATCTGAATAAATGGAATTGGGTAGCTTTTGTTTTTCCACTAATTTGCTCAGTATAATATATGAATGTCTCCTATGGTGCAAGTATGTGGAGGGAATGTAACAAGGTGACCCTCAAATAGCTATAGTCTAATAGAGACAGATAAAAACAAATTAATGAATATGTAAATTCAAAGTGAAGTCTGATAGGCTACTGAATAACTTGGGTAAAGAGAGATAGTTGGGCAGGGTAGTCAGGGAAGGCCCATTTGAGAGAATAAAACATTTGAAACTGATCTTTGTAAGAACCACTTTGAGATATTTGTCTTGATTGACATCTTTACCATTGTTGCTATCCCAATACATTTAATTTGGCTAAATTACTCCCCCTTAAAACACAGCTTGTGAAATTCTATTTTTCATCAGTATTGGCTTTACCCATTGTTGAATTATTCACCTATTGTTAAATTTATCATGTCGTCCTTATTTTGCAGAAACCGAAGCTGAAAGATTGGCATCCTCCTGGGGGTTTTATTCTGGGATTGTGGGCACTCATTATCATGGTTTTCTTTAAAACTTATGGAATCAAGCATATGAAGTTCATTTTCTAGACGTGAGGATGTAGAGAAGACTGCATGGAAGACTACAACCTTGGATTAAAATTTATGTCGTTACATTTTTCAAAAAAATACATTGCTCTTGTGTGAATTGACAAAAATAGAAGTAAACTAAATTTGACAAACTGTTATTTTATAACTTAAAGAAAAATAATTGTTAATGCAAGTACTGTGATAAATATATTTGTTTTTCCTTTTGTCTGTTATTAAAAAGATTGAACAAATATCAGATCATTGACCTTTTTTGAAAATAAGTATTTTCATTTGAATATCCCTTATTCATTTGGAAAAAAAAAAGTGAAGACATTAAATTCTCAATAGTAGAGCTAAGTTCAGTTAGTACTTTTGTATATGTTCTTCCAGTCTTTTTTTCCTATGTACATATTTTTTTCTAAAATAGAGATCATATAGAATATACCAGTTTGTAACCTCACTTTTCATCTTACGATATGTTAACCCTTTTTCTCTCCTCGATATTGTTCAAGAACACATTGAGAATGGCTGCAGAGTACCCATTTTATGAATGTATTGTCATTTATTTAACAGACTTCTGTTGTTGGACCACTTCAATTTTTTTGTTCCCCAAATTTTTCTTTGGGTTATTCTTTAATGTGTGAAAATTTTACTGTCAGTTATTCATGGAATAAATATGAAAAATTGGTTTCTTAACCTATGGTACTGATAGTCTCCAGGGCCTTATTTGCTTGTCAGTTTATTTGGAAAATTTAAGACCTTTGGTATTTTCACATATTACTGCTCAAGAGAAACTAACCTCATCTTTTTCATTTCTGAGCATTCTGTGATCCTCTAGAATTCATTACCTCCTCTTCAGTTTCCACATTGAAAAAGACATTGTTTCATTCTGTTTTAGTTGTAAACTTTGCCCACTGGCTGGGTCTACACTTTTCCTAAGACAATCTCATAAAGTGGATGGAGTATATGGAAAATTCACACTTATGGCCCTGCCTTCACTTCTGACTGATGTATCATATAAGGCAAAAAATAATCCCCTTTTCTGATCTCTGACAAGATGCAAGAACTCATATCTCTTTCACTGATTTTTTTGCTTACCAATCATCTTTGCACCTTTTTTATAACTAGAAATAGTATTGAGATAGCAAAGCTATCAGCCTCAAATATTGTTTTTCCACATATAAGGAAGATAAAAACCCTGAATGTTGAGTATTCATGGCCCGCAGGATACTTTTTTGTATTTTATCTGTTTTATCTAAGAATTTATGTGTTAATCTTTATTCATTGTAAAGACCTGTTGTATAATTGTAGGTAACATTAAGAAGACAACTCTTCCTCCACAATATACCTCCTAAAGTTAATATTCCATAGGATTTGTTTTTTTAGTACTTAAATATTACCCTTTAATTAACATGCCAAATAGTCATGCTTTCACAGGCAAAAGATTAATTCTGTTATCTCCCAGGTTAGAAAAATGATAGGCTTTTTGCTAGCTCTGAATCTTCATTTTAACTGACCTTTTTATTGGTGCACTAGATACATGAAGAAGGAAATTTATTCGAGTATATGGAGAAGAGTCCTTTTGTACACAGAAAGGGAGAAAATCAAACTTAAATTTGAATAGCTGGATAATAGTAGTGCTAAGAGACAAAAAAAGTTGGCCATGTCGCCCTGCAAACACACAAGGTCATGAACACTATGGTAGGATGGAGCTACTTAGAGTGGTAAGGAAATATGACTGTTCTTGAACCAAGATAATTTAGTTTGAATATAATGAAACATACCTGATGGTAAAGACTGCTGGAGAGGAAAGAGATTCATCTTCAGAGGTAGTACAAGGTGCCCTTCTTAGTTAAAACTAAACTAGGAGAAGTAGTACTGGATATAATATACAGGATTAATTTTGCCCAGACAGAGTTTCAAAAGGCAGTTATATCTCTTCGTGTTTCATTATTGAATTTTCAGAATGTAGTTAAAGCAAAAGGCTTAAAATATGTTAAATGTTTAGCTCGTAACCATAATCTTTTTACTTAAAGTATATTCTGCCTTCAATAATAAGTACATCTTCTGCGTATGGTAAGTGGGTAATATTATAAGTGCAATTAAATGGCCCAGACTTTAAATGATAACATAAAAGCACATCCTTAAATATATTCTATTTGAGTCACAAAGAGCCGAACAACCAAGAGGTGTTTTTTATTTTATTTTATTTTTTTTTGTCTTTGTCACAGCATTGTTGTGAGGATCAAATGAGATAATGTTATGACTAAACTCTTTGGAAATTGTAAATATGTGGTGCTGTCCTTCAGGAAGGAAAGGAATATAGATAAATGGAACCCAGCAGACATGTCCTGACCTTTTAAGGGAGGGACAGGTTATAGTGATGCCATTCTACAAAGGCAGCCTGCATGAGAAAAGGAAACCAAGTATGTGGATTTTAAATTTATGAAAGACATTCATTTGCAGTTTATGAAAGGCAAATGTAGATTGGATGCAAAGCTGATTAAATTGGATCAAGAAAAATTTGAATTAAATACATAAAATAATGCATGCATTTATGATTTCAATTTTTATATATCCTCAGCTAGTTGAAAATGATGATTCCCACAACAAGCATAACTCAGCTTGTTTCTGCTTAGTGAGTATTTTCTACTGTGGTATATGTGGATAACATTTCTTCCATTATGTATGTTGTATAGCAGAGTTACAGTTATTGTGGGAATCATAATTTGAATTTTTGACTCATGTTTCTGGAATCTTTACAACAAATGTTGCATTAACATAGAACTTTTTTCATTGACTTTACCAAAATTAAATCCATCTCGCAAATACTGTTTTAACTTGTGAAAGAAATATTTTATAAACATACCACAAGGTATGGTTATAAAATAATGAGATCATATCCTTTTCGCTTTATGGCATCAGTCCGTTACTTTGTTATCACATCTCCTACCCAAGGGCATTTATCACAAAGAAAGTGTCTCCATTATTGCCGTTCTGTCCGCCTGTCCTGTCTGCACGTGTACCTGCTGTGTAAATATGAAAGCCTTTCAATTCATGAACAGTACACTTTGATAGTAACCAGTCCTTTTTTTTATTTTAGTGCAAAATTTTTACCCTTTTGGAAGTGTGCTATGAAATATTTGGTTTAATTTAACTGTGTAGACCTTTGCATAATGGGATTGATAAAGAGGAAGATGTGACCAAAAAACAAAAACGGTATTAAAAATTCATTTACTTCAAACATGGAAGGGTGGTCATCATCATTGTTGCGTCCGGGCTGCTTGCAGCCACAGACTTCGGAGGACTTTCAGATTTGCCTGAGGAATACTCAGTCCTTGGGTCCCCCACATATCAATATGTGGGGTTCATATTGATATGACCCATGTTCACGTGACCCTCTTCTGACCATGGAAGTACCAGCTCTGGACGTGCTAGAGTTTCAGGGACAGCCGAGAGGAGCAATGTAGAACACTTTCCTAGGGGTCATTAAATAAGGTCATAAAGGTAAAGCACATACAATGTCTGATCTGGCACAAAAGAAAAGTTCAACTTTTGTTCTTCGCTGGGTAGAACTCTGACTAGCTCGTTTTTAACCTCCGCTCAGGCCCAGGGATCCCTCCTTAAAGAACTCCTACACTCTCCTGTTCTCTTCTGCTTTTAGCAGACATTGTTTGGGGATAGTAGTTTCTTTTCATTTTCTTTCAACATTGTCCAACAATTTAAATCACAAGGCTCACTTGCCTCTCATTTTTGCCTCCCTGCTCCTCCTCCCCACCCTCGCCCCATTTTAGGTAGGCTGAGACTTTTCTCAGTCTTCCCTCAACCTTAGTTTTTTATTGTCTTTTCTCTCTGTGACCTAGAGACTTTATTGGAAACACGCCTTTAACATGGTTTAATGGATAATAATCCAGTCTGAATTTCTTTATTCCTCCTGCATTTCCAGGAGTATATATCCTCTCCTTCCCCACACCACGTTAGAACTTTTTAAGTGTCAAATGATAGAAACCCAAATAGAACAAATTTAGGACAAGAAGGGAATTTACTGGAAGGATATTAAGATATCTCACGTGATCTTGCAAATAGAGGGCCCGGTCTGAGCCTCACCAGGGACTGGAATGTCAATTGGATTCTCTTCTCTGCATGTCTCTTTTATCCCTTCTAGAGGCTGGCTTTATCACATGGCTGGTAACTCCAGAGCCTCGTATCCTGTGCTTCACCACAAGAAAGAGGAAAATTATTCTCTTTTGTTATTTCCAGTTCTCAGTGTCTTGTGGAAGAACCGATTAACCTTGTCAGCATGAAGGGTTCACCTGGCAAGAGGGCTAAGGTCCTATAAGCTCATAAGGACCTCTGGTGACATACCTCTGTCTATTTGGGTCTCTCCCAGAGAAGGGAGCCAGGCAGTCACCCTTACTAATACTTTCTACCAACTTTGCTATTTAGTGAGTGGTCCATGGAGCTGCAGCATCATCCTGGAGCTCGCTAAAATGCAGAATATCAGGCCCCATTTCACACCTACCAAAGTAGAATCTCCATTTTAACATGATCCCCAAGTAATTCACATGCACATGAAAGTAGGACCGATCTACTATACCTTCCTAGACTATACAGCTCAATTTAGCTCCTAAAAGGAGATTGCAAAAGATTGCAAATACTTTTAAAACAAGCAGCTATATATAGCATATTTTATGGGTTAATTGACTCTAGCATTATTATCGACTTCTATTTAGACCTAAGACTGTGCGCCACTCTCATTTTTTTTCCTTTTGAGGCCTTTACAAAATGTTTAATGCTGAAATAGGCATCTAATTAGCACTTGCTGTATGTAGTACTTACTTGCAAGATCTTTGACACTCCTCTCACAAAGAGGTGGCGTCCAAATTCCCCTCCCCTGAATGCGGCCTGGCCTTAATGACTTAATTCTTTAATAAATAGAATGTAGCAGAATAATACTGCATGACTTTTGAGGCTCTGCTGCAAAAATGCGTAACGTCTGCCTGGCTCTTTCTCAGGACACTTGCTTTTTGAACCCAGCCACCATCCGCTCAGGAAGCCCAAGCCACATGGAGAGGCAATATATGTATATTCTGGCTGACAGTCCTGACTAGGTCCCAGCTAACAGCCAACATCAATCTCCAGAGATGTGAGAGAGGGAGATTCCAGATGTTTCCTGACTACAACCAAAAAAGAGACCCTCGTAAGAATCACCTAGTTGATCCCCAGAATGGTGAAAGATAATCTGAAAAAGAAAAAGTTATTAAGTTTAGGATGGTTTGTTGTGCAGGGATAGTTACTAAACTACTGTGTTAATATGTTACCCAGTCTATTAGATGCTAAGAAGGATTCAAAGAAACAGGATTCTCTTTAAAAGAATTACAAATTAATTCTGGAAAGACACACATGAAAAGATGAAATAACTACATAGCAGAAAATGTCAAGTGCTATTTAAGAGCCATAGAATAAGAGTTTTAAAAAGGACTATTTTTAATTGCTATGTAAATATGTTATTAATATTGTATTTACCCTTGGGGGAAAGGACAGAGAAGACTTCGAGAATGAAGTGAAATTTGATCAATCAAATTAGATTTCTCTGTTCTTTTTCACCTGCATTTTTCACTATTACTCTTTTCAGTACTGTAAATTTTCTTCCATCCTGTCCCACCAACTCAGGCTTTTATGTCATTGGAAGACTTTGCTTTGCAATCTGAAAGGTAAGTTGGGAGAAGCTAATCAACTCAACTTCCTTCTCTATCTCCAACAAAGTTACCTAATTTCACCCCCCCCACCCCCCACCTCCGTCAGTTATCCCTGCCTCCACCCCATTGGTCATAGAGACTGAGTTACTGACTCCATCCCTTCTGGAATATTGCTCACTAATTAATAAACCCACCTCTCTTGTCCTTCAATCTCCGTTTGCATAGAAGTGATTTCCCTTTCATTGTATAAAATGTTCCAGCTTTCTCATCTTAAAAATTCTTGAAATCCTATGTGCCCTTTTAAATGCAAATATAGAAATGCTATATAAAGCTCTTTTCCACTTCATTTTGTAGTCTATTATTTTGAATGAATGGGAAGCATTCACCGACTTGGCTTCCCTGCCTCGTATTCATTCATGAATCTTTTTGTGAATCTAGCTTCTGCTCCCAGCACTCCCCTGAAACGATTCTCTTTACTGATATCGATGATCTCCTAACTGCCAAATCCGATGGAATGTTTCTGCCTGTATTTTTCTTATCTCTCCTTAATATGTAACAATCATTTTAGAAACGTTTGCTCCTCAGCCTTGAGGTGCTGCTCTCACCCCAGGTGTTCTTCCCTTAGACTCTCCTTGTCCCTCTTCTCCAAGTGCTTTCTTTTGCTCCAGATGTTCTGCACAGTTTTGTTCTCAAACTCTTCAAATTCAGCTGTGCCACTAAATATTTTCATCCCCATTTGTGGTTTCCACTACCACCTCTACAGCCATATCTCTATCTCAGCATCTCTCTTAAGTTCCAGAAGTTCCCCTTTCTGCTTGAAACCCCACGGGAATCTCAGACTCAGCATACATTAGACTGATCTCT